AAAATCAATAGCTCGTGAAATAAGTGTGAAATATGTCACGTGGGAGTAAAAATAGACATAGGAATACTTTCCAGGGCCGGTTTGACCCGACCTTGGCTCGAACAGATGTATGGCAGCCTCTCAGGGACCCTGCACTCTATTGGTCTAACTAAGCTCATGCAATTTTTAATAACATCCCAGATTCCTTCATTAAGGCAGGACATTACTTTATTGCTGATATTAAGAGCCGCTGGTGATGATGCCTGGAGAGTCCGCCGACGCAACACCCTCAGAGAACAGAGCACGAATTTCCTGGTGACCACATGTTGACCCTGTCGGATTAAGTGCTGCGCACAGAGATAAAAGCCTGCGAGAACATGCCATTGTAAGGAAGACCGGAGAAATTTCAGGGAAAGTAGCAGAGAGATATTAGAGCAGACAGATATGTGCTCCGGGGGCGAGTAAAGCAGGAGCGAACACAGTAAAGAGCCTCCTGAAGAGATGATTTTTCCTTTTTTTTCAAAGAAGAGAGGATAAGGGTTTGCTGTTTTGGATGTTGGGTGGGGAGGTCACTCGACCAGTCGAGAGCCAGCAGGGACAAAAAAGTCAAAACTGAGCAAAGACGTGATCAAACAGTGACAGTGTGTGAAGACGTGGACTGTAGAGGGGGAGGAAATAATCTGATCCTTCAGTTAAACAAGACCTATTCTGCTTCTCCTAATATTACCTCACATATATCCTGTTCAAGTGCACTTTCAAATCCAACAGGGCCAAAATGTTAAGTTTCAAATACGGAGGTTTGAGAATGGACAACTCATCTCTGCGAGCTCATAGCTCAGGGTTCAGAATACTCGAAACCAAAAACAGGCAAAAAACGACCCAAACCATTTCAGTCCGGCTTGCAGCATCCTACAAGGAACGCTAAACAATCCCACTGCCTAAAAACAACCCAGTAAAGGCAACATGATGCTTAAAGCCTGTACTTCTATTTAACTTGACTCTCGCTCATATGTGTTACGTTTTATCTTTAAACGCTACACTCTCAAGAGTTATAGATGCAAAATGATTTAACCTTTAAAACATCTGCATTTGTACATAAGATCTGCTAACTTTTACTTATATATATTTAAGTGAACTGCTGTTTTTTAATTACCAAATGTTCAGTCTACTAAATGCTTATTGTAAAGGTTACTTTTAAAATGTATTCCACTACAGATTACAGATTACATGCCCCATGTATTCCGTTACGTTACTCAATGAGAGTAACGTATTCTGAATACTTTGGATTACTTAATATATGATCATGCTTTTTACAACTACATGAATGTACTATTGCTGTGTGATTTATTACTATTACTGAAGGACACTCGCCATACCAATATCAACTTTTAAATCTTAATATAAATGAGTAACAGTAGGTGGACATTAGGTAAGGCTGCACTTTTTGCAGCGATCTCGTATACAAAACGATTCCGCGCGTTTATAAAACACATCTGCGGCTCCGAACCGTAGTAAAGGGACCTCTGGCTAATACGTCGGATTCATGTCGGGCTGCTAGCTGAAAACTAGCTTTACTTTGTTGTCTGGGTCAACTGTGCTAGCGAGAGACAAAGAGAGGCGTTGAAA